GCCTTGTCTCTTGTTTGTGTCCATAGCCAAAATACTATTTCTTGGAGATATAATTCCCAAAGCAATTGTTATCAATGAAATTTACTGACTCAGTTACTATAGGGCTTGGGAAGATCTATGAAGGCTAGACTAGAGTTTCAAAGCCAGTGAAAAATAGAGTGTTTATGATATTTGTACTATTTAAGGATAATGTCCTAGCATGAAAACTTGGTGAAATATCACCATCTTCTGTAATTTGACACTTAGCATTTAGTTATATTTGAAAATTCTGAAGGAAATCTAGAGACTAGTCACAACAAATGTCAACATAAAGTAATTTCAATATTTGAGTAACTCTAATCATTGTAGTAGAAACATCCATCTTTTGATTTAAGCCACTGATCTTTACAACATAATTGAATGCTTTTGATCAGCTGTGCAAATTATTTGGGTACCAAAAAATTTGGTGGCTTTCTGCTAGTCATTCCAAACATTCTTTGGAAATATAGGAAGAAGGAACAGGAGTTCTTCATGTTCCTGATATTATGTGTGTGTGTGTAATTATATAGATTATTGAAATTATATATATTTGCTCATTTGCATGTTTTTAATTTTTTATTTAAGTAGAGTTGACACATAATGTTGTATTAGTTTCAGGTGTACAACACAGTGATTTGGCAAGTCTATACACTATTCTATGCTCACCACACATGTAGCTCCAATCTGTCACCAACAACCCTATTACAATACCACGAACTACTTTCTTTATGCCGTGTCTTTTATTCCTGTGACTCTTGATATATTTTTGATTGCTGATTCCAGATTCTATTCCCGATTCCAGACCAGTCATTTGGGAGAGCACTAACAAGATCAATTTGGGAAACATTCTGCCTGAAGTAAAGACTATGGCCTCAGCTGTAATGGGATATCTAGCCACTGCATTTCTTGAAAGTCATAGTGATGATAAAGTGAAACCATTTCTGAGCTAAGGGTGACATTAAAAACATTGCATCACCATTATGACAGAAGCACTGGCCAATCAGAATGTAAATGCTGGAGTAGCATCCTGGGAAACTCCTGGTGTGCCAGCCAGCACTCCATTCTTGTGAGATCATAAGAGGTCCTGCAGGAGGCATCATAATGGAAGGAGTGGAGGGGTCACACTGATGGATTAGTGTCAGCAGTTGTTTACATAATGAAAGAAGTATGTTTTACTATTTTAACAAGCAGAGTGGTTTTTCTGGTATATGGAAGTTGAATATGAGCCCTATGCTTGGCTCAAGCATCTCTAGGATAGTGGTTCTCAAAGTGTGGTCTAAGGATACCCGAGGGTTCTTGACATATTTTTAGGAGATCCATAGGTCCTCCCTTTTCCAATGGCATGTTTATGTGGAGTTAGATTTTCTTCATATAATTAAACCAAACAGAATATTGCACCAGGTTGAACGCTGATGCAGATATACAAATCTGGTCATCTTTTATTGAGTCAGACATTCAAGTGATTTGCAAAAATGTAAAAGAGTGCTATTATCAAAAAATTATCTTTGAAAGATACAATTTTTCCATAAAAATATTTTTGTTAACATGGGATGGCTTTATTGTTTTTTGATGAACTAAGAAGATAAAAAAATACAGAGACCAAAGAGTTTGTGGATTGCTGCATCAAGAAATGAAATGATGAGAACTGTAGAGCACTGGGAAAGAGAGGCCTAACAGCCCCAACCCCTGATTGCTCTACTTAGAGTTTTGGTTGTCACTTGAGGGATTAGTTAATGACTTTAAAATATCCCTGTGTATTTCAGTTATGCAAAAATACGTCCAGCAGCATATATTTGTATTTCAGAACCTTGCTAATTTACACTACTTTATGTGTATAAAGTTTTCAATACTGGATTTTTTTTGGGGGGGGTAAAGAAATATATTTCACTATGTTAAAAGAACTGTTATCAAAATGACACTCAGAAGAAAATAGCTTTACATAATAAATTAAAATTTTAATTAGCTTATCAATTGTCATGTGTAGATACTTCTTTGTTTATTTGTTTTAAAGATTTTATTTATTTATTTGACAGAGAGAGATCACAAGTAGGCAGAGAGGCAGGCAGAGAGGAGGAAGCAGGCTCCCTGCGGAGCAGAGAGCCCGATGCAAGACTGGGTCCCAGGACCCTGAGATCATGACCTGAGCCGAAGGCAAAGGCTTAAACCACTGAGCCACCCAGGCGCCCAATACTTCTAAGATACTTAAACGTTTCAGGAGAAATACTTTCTATTTTTTTTTTTTTAACCTGACTTTCATGGGAGAGGTAGAGAAAACATGAGCCTCATTCTGTAGTATTATCTCAAATACTGAAGCATCAGAATAGAAATTATCATCTTACATTCTGTCTAAGGCAACAGCGATTCAAAGGTTTACCATTACTTTATATAACAACAAAACAAAAACAAAAACAAAACAAAACAAAAACCCAAAAAGCAAAAAAGAAAACAAAATGAAAACCAACAAGCAAACAAACAAGTAAAAAACACCCAAAAGGATCTTCTAGGGTTGGGATGCCAAAGGGCTACAAAGAAAATGGAAAACAAGACCATCCATCAGAAATGGACTTCAAGGGAATATCCATGTCTCAGTCTTAATACTGCGTGAAGGAAGGGCACAGAGAAAATCTCTCCTGAGAATCTGACCCATGGTCTTTGCTTTCGTTACTGTTTCAATTCATGCAGCCAGTGTGGTCAAAGACCTTAAACAGAGAATGTAGGTAGTGTCCCCAGGTGACTAATAGGAGCAAATACAAATTGTCTTGTAATAATGCCATTGCTTATAAAAGGAGAACCAATTTCAGAAGTGTTAAAATGTCAAAAAACAACCATGAAAACATGTGTTTTAGAAATGATGAAATACAGTAATTAGAATTTCCTGGTATGTAAAAATTAATTAAATATTGCCTACATAGGAATAATTTGCATTATGCCATACTTTATCAACCATGCTGACATAATTTACTCTAGCAATCACAAAGCAAGGGGAAATAGAAGCAAAAACATATATTATGATGGACACACAAAGTTATGCAACATTCAGAGCGTCTACACGTAAGACAACAATCAAGATGTAAAAATTAACATGCTTATCTCAAAATCAAACTGACAAGCGTATGTTTAGTGCATGCTACTTGTTTTCCTAATTTCTTTCCTCTGAATGTGTCTACACACTTGGAATACATTTTTATGGGTCACAGATAAATTTATGAAGGTCCCTTGATTTTCACAGTTCAATAGGAAAATGTAGAACTCTTAAACAGCAACTTTTGAAAACAAAGACTAGGAATATATATTTAAAACCTATATTTAAACTACAAGATGCTCTGGGTGTTAAACTTGACTCCACAATGCTTCCGTGGCAATAGTATACATGTTCTTTACCATGACATCAACCTAAAGTCTTAGATTTATATGAGGTAGCAAAGTGGCAGCTCTGTCTACATTTCTCATATTTATTGGTTCAGTTCCTAAGAAATGTACATTCAAGTACAGTGTCTTGCTGAAGCTGGCATCCCTTTTGTGGATATGATAATTCAGGTTCTTATGGGGACAGGAACTGGGGTTTTGGTCATCACTGCCAAGTCAACTAATTGACTGTCAAGGTTTCTTGGTGATGGTTTATGATCCAGAAATCTCTCTCACCAGTGAGCATTTGACCCAATAGCATTTTAAAAGATCAAATGAGTCTTTCTAGACTACAGATATTTGATATGGGATGGATGTCACAATGAGTGCTGTCAGAAATCAGCTGTCTTTTGGAGGCAATGGGGCTAATTGTTGGTCACTAACCTCTACCTAAAACACAGGGGTCATTCCATTTCCCCTTCCTTTTTTGAACACAACACAGATAGCCTTTCTATAGTTGAAGTATCCAAACATTCCTTTTTCATTAGTTTCAAGTGTTCAGTGGTGATTCTCTTCTTTATGTCTTAAAATAATGAGTTATAGATTATACAATACTTGAACATAACTATACACTTTAAGAGAGGTTTTGAGACCTGCATGGAAATACTCAAAACAGACAACAGTGTTAGAAACTAAAAACTGGCTAAAGGTTTTGGTGAGAAAATCCCCACCCTCTTCCTTCCTTACAACTGTGAACGCTGCATCGAGTGGGATGCCTCTTAAATGAGAAATAGATGAAGTAGGTGCTTTGAATAGAAATACAAAATAAAGCTCTTCTGTTGAAATTATGGCTTTGGTACAAAACAGCCTTTATTCAAGTCATTCAAGCAACTCTATTCCATTTAACAAAGAATAAAAAGACCTCTTAGAAGCCCAGATACCTTTTCCTTGTCTTCTTAGAATAAAAATAACCAAAAGGAAATCATTCCCAAGGGTCATTGGATACATAAGCTTGCTTTTCTACTTCTTTGTGTTAAGAGTGTAAATGGATAATTAACTGCTCAATGCCTTTTTTTTATTGTGAAAAACAAAACCCTGTGTATATGAACTTTTTTCCCTCTTTCTTGACCAATAGAAAAAATATATATATATAGAAAATATATATATATATATAATATATATCAACACATTTATGAACAAATGGGAAAATGCATACATACACATATATGAGCAAGTAGACTATCTCAAAGGTAGAATAAAATAAATCTAAATTTGTGTTTTTTCCCAAACACAAACATTGATTTCACTATTGATTTCACTGAAAATATAGCTACCCACAATTAAGGATCAATTCTTTCAGTGAGTGTATATTGGGTTAAGATTTGGTTAAAGACAGAGAATTTATTATAATTTATAATAAATTATAGAATAGAACTGAGGTCAATTTTGAAGTCCTACACTTCTCCTCAAGTCATTTTATCTTGAGCACATTAACATAGGCCTACTCATTTGTCCCCTTCAAAGCCATGTAATTTTCTACAGGACTCGAATTCATTAGGGTCCCAAATGTCTGTCTTGCCACCCTTCTGAGGGATGTCCACTGCTATGTTTCTGAGCAAAAGTCAGTCAGGACTCACCTCTCCTTCCCTGGGCCAAGGCCTTCCATTATGGGTGTATTTGCTTTGATTCTGTCGCTTCTTTTGTCCTCCATCAGCGAATTTGCACAGTAAAGGCTCACTAGGGGCTGGGAAGATAAGAAACCAATTCTATATTAGCAAATACCCCTAAAAACAAGTGATTTTCGAGTCACAGTAGTGCTTTGTAATGCCTATCTTTTGAAGTTTTCTTGCTTCTGGAGAGACAGTTGGCCCCCTTTTAGTCTCAGTTATGTTGGCTGCTATTCTATCTAACTGGGCTTCAAAAAAGTACTGGCAGACCATAAAAGAATACAAAAAATATTGTTGAAAAAAAAATCAGTTGAAGCAGAATGTGAACTTGCCTTAAAAATAAAGAGGGGAATGTTGACTCCTTCCTGTTATATCAATGCTAAAAACCAGATGATGGGTCCAAAATGGAGTCACTTATGCTAAGCTCCATGTCAACAAACCGAGACCTAACTTAATTATAGTTTTGGCTCTCCCAGAAACGGAAATTTAAACCAATCAATCAGGAGTCACTGATAAGCATTAGTGAGGTAATTGACCTGATAGACCCCTGCCATCCCTAAAGAAAAGGGACTTTGCCACAACCAATCCAATTTTTGCCACTATAACTTTCTTATTCCCACTCTCTTCTGCTGCAGAAGCCTCACATCTGCACAGGTTCTCAGAGCTCCTCTCTACCTGTTGGAGGAGAGGCTGCTGGACTCACAAATCCTTGAATAAAGCCAATAAGATCTTTAAAAAGTACCCATTGAATTTTGCTTTTTCATATTAGAAACATATTCATAACCAGTATTTGTGTGTAGATAAATATTTCCCCCTCAAAGTAACTATGTTTTCACAGTAGAAACTGTAGGGTTCTATTTTGGAAAGAGATCCTTAGGAGTTGCCTTCTAAAAAGGGAGCCATTTTGCTAATTACAACCAAATCAGTTTTTTTTCTCATTAACCTCTGCAATTTCAAAACGGCTAGAAGCTGATTGTCTACTGAACCCCTTTCTCTCCAATTTCCCAGTGAAATCTAGTCAGTATCTCAGGGAGAACAATTATTTGAATATCAAATGAGCCCACATGATAAAATATAGTCGAAGGATATGGCTCTAAGAAAAGAATCCTGGACTGGGGGGAAATGTGGTCCTGGGTCACTTAAGTTAACTTATTTGATAATCTTTTAAAACACAACAAAGAGAAATTTATTCTTTGAGAACTGATGCCCCCTCCACATCCCTACTTGACTAAAAAAATTGCTGCTTGTGATTACCACAAATATATTTAAGAATGAATGAATAAAAAGAAAGCTATATGGTTTAAAAAACTTGGTCAATGTATTAAATGGCTAGGAGGATTTTTTTGCTATTATTTGCTTGGATAAAACAAATATTGATTTGTAAGTTTATAATCTGAAAATTAAAGTCAACCCCTCCCTCTCCCAACCCCCTGGGAAAATGTGTTCTTCTGAAGATTAATTGTATTAATGGTTGAAAAGGAAAAAAAACATAACCCTCAAAAAAATAACTCTTTGGCATAAGGATTAATTTAGCCTGATTATTTTTAAGAAACAACAGATAGAGGAAAAGCTCTGAAAACTGGCCAGAAGTTACCCTTTTGTTAGAGACATTTACACTTATAAGGGAAATCTCTATTTGTAACAGTATCTCCCTCTTTGTATCTGGAAGAAAAGAATACTCTAAATCTCAAGAAATTTTTATCAATCAGTAAAGAAAAAAGGACTTAAATCTATGCAACAACCTTACCCTTGTTTACTGTGTTTTTTTTGGTAATCTCCTCTAACTGGCCTCCCTGCTCCCTCCCCAACACCTGTTGTCTTCAGCTGAAGACCATATTGAAGATGGTGACTGGGGCTATTTCAGGGAGTTACTAGGTTTTCCTGGGTATCTCCATATAAGAGGCATATATGTTATTAAACTTCTGTTTGTTTTTTTTTCTTCTGTTCATATGTTTTTATTGGGCGGTGGGGGGCCTTAGCCAAGAACTTAGAAAGGTAGAAGGAAAATTATTTTAATTCTTTATCCCTCCTTCTATCTTTGCCTTTTGCCATGCAGTATTGTTGAACTCTCCGAATCTTGGTCTGATCCCATGTGAACTGCTCTAGCCAATGAAATGTTAGCAAATGAGGCACAAGCAGAACACTGAAGTGTTTTTAAGCATTGAGTTTTGCTTCTTTTGCTTCTCTGCAGAGCCACATGAATATACTCAGCCCAACCTGTGGAAGGATGAGATACAAGTGTAGAGGAGTCATCCCTACTATCAGATCCAGGGCCAAAGTAGATCATCCAATGACTACGACCCTGACATGTGAGTGAGCTCAACTAAAATCATCAGAGATACACAGATAAACATGCAGTTGACCACAGACCAGGTGAAGTCAATAAAGATGATCCCACAAACATGTAAGCTAAATGAATCTTCATTGTTTCATATCATTAAAATTTTGCAATTGACACGTAATATTATAACCTTAATAGATAACTGCTATTGTTTTCCCCAACACCTATTCCTCCCCATATCCACTCCAGCAAGGTTTCTTATGTTCACTAACCTGGATAATGCAAAAGAAAAAAAAAAAAAAAAGATTAAAGAATTCATGAGATTTTCAATTGTCTCCAAAATCAATAGTGGAAAAAGAAATGAGTGGGTAACCACAAATAAATATTTGAAAATCATTTAGCTTTAAGTGGCAGTAGTATTTACTCAACCCTTTTATTCTTTATTAGCAGCAGAATTCTATTGACCAATATTGAAGGAAATACTGACTCAAACAGACAGAAGGTCGGAATTGGCTAGGTGGAATGAAAAATAAAATGTCTTGCCTCCCTATGGAGGAGGCATGTGGGAATATGTAACTCATCCTGGCACATAACTCAACCAATGTCATTCCTCACAGAGCACAAGTGCTTCCCAACTGTCTGCTTTTGGGAGCCTCCAACTTCAGTGACTTTGGTGAAGCCACAGAAGTCACACAAAGGAAAGGCTGAATCATGAAATGTCTGCAGACAGGAGCTGCCATCACACTGAAGTAGTCTAAATTCTTTCTCCAGATGAAGAACTGAAAGGATAAATGCAATCAAGGATCCTGAAACTCTATGCTAAAGAAAATTTCCTGTGAGACTCCAAAAGCATATATAAGTATGTGCCTATAGTGAGGAATGATTATATATATATCATATATCATCATACATACATCATCATTCCTCACTATAGGATATTTTCTCTCTTGATATTTTAAAAATTCAAGGTATATTCACTCATTCGAATGGGATGGTCATGCCGACATGTGAGTTTATAACTGGCAATAGTACAAATTTCTCACAAAAGGCAAATAAATCTAGAAATATCTTAAATTTCCTACTGTTAAAAAAATGTAGATTCTACCTTTTATGTTTCTTGGGATAATAACTTTCATGAGTCATACTTTCTACTATCTGAAGCAGGATTCTCTTTATTGTGTCCTAAAACAGATTCTTTTAGAGAACATAATATACTGATTCTAATAGTCTAGGATATGATAATGACTTTGCTTGAGGTCGTTCCTTGTTTCTGTAGGCTCTGACACTTAGTTTGGGTGCATTTCGGTGTCTAGCAGTCTGCTTCCTGGCTCCCTGACGTACTAACTACAAGACACCAGACACCTTTTACATTTTTTTTAATATTTCTGTGACTCATTTTCCTCATGTATGAGTTGAGGATAATAACATCACCTACCTCAGACAGCTGTTGTGAGGATTAAATAAATTCATGCGTGAAAAGGGTTTAAAACAGTATATAGTACATAAATGATTATTAAATTCACATTAGCCACAACTATCATTATTGCCTAGCATCTTTATTAGCCACTGCCCATACATCAGCTGTAAAACCTAGTTACTTGGCAGAGTCAGAGTTCAGAGTGTTCAATCAATTGGGTTTATTGTTCCTCAGTTCTGTCCCACTCTAACTCCATGGCTGGTTTGGCCACAGAACTTACAACTGACTCAGTGCAAGTGCAACTGACTCATTGCAACTGAACAGTGAAAAGATTTGCTCATTGAGAGGATCTGCATTTCCAAGATGGTTCTTGCTGACTGCAGCTTGTCGTTGGACCTTCCGGCCACGTTCCCCTCCTGAATCTTCACCAAAGTTAGACTTCTAATATTCTGAGTAGGATACAAGTCATGTTCTCTTATGTATCTTAACACTCCATTGCCTACCCTGAATGCTCCCTGTTCCTTTTTCTGCTGTGTTTTCAAAAAATTATTCTTATTACTATTTTTTGTTACTTAATTGCTAGAGATCTATTGGCTATTTAAATCCAGCAAATCTGTATTTTACTACTAAGGTAAGTACAGTGCTATCTACACATTGTAGGCAAGCAAAATTCACCACCCCAAAATGTGTCTCTTTGACATGTATAAACACACACAGACACACACACACACACACACACACACACACACACATATATTTAAAGACTTTCTTGGTGAACTCTTGGACACTATGGAATCAGGGGGACAGCACTGACAAGAAAAGAAAGGCTTAGAATGAATCATTAGCTTTAGGATTTCTTCTACCTACTGGCACAGAGAAATTTTATAGAAGCTTCTTTGAAACAAATATTACCAAATCACAATATTTTAGCTTGCTAAGGATCAATTATACATAGACTATGAGATTCTGGCTTGCAGACCTACCTTGAATTTTTCATTATTGAAAAGGGAACTTTTAAAACAATATTTTTAACACTAAGAGAAACTTAAAAAGCCATAGGGAAAGACTTTCTTAGAAACTTTCAACTGAGATGCCTTTGTGAGTTGTGTTTGACAGTGTCTTAGAGGTTCCAAATCTTAGCCACCCTGGTATTCGAAGATCTGCTTCATAAGTTGTTAGACTACAGATGTTGGTAATGACTTATTTATATTTATTGACATTGCTATGTTGAAATATCTGCTGTCACTTTATTGATTTGAAGATGATTATGATGGGAAAGCAGGGTCACAAAATTTTTATTAAATGAAGTAAAAGAAATACAATCTCAGAAACACATTTTTTAAATGTGTAATTAAAAAAGGATGGAATATCTGTAATAT